TCTGCATGTGGCTATGCAATTTTCCCAGCATCATTTATTGAATAGGGATTCTTTTCCCCGGTGTATGTTGTTGTCTGCTTTGTCAAAGATCATTTGGCTATAGGCAGGTGGTTTTATATCTGGGTTCTCTATTTTTGTGCCAATACCACACTGTTTTGGTTACTATTGCCTTGTAGTATAGTTTGATGTCTGATAATGTGATGCCTCCAGATGTGCTCTTTTTGTTTAAGATTGCTTTGGCTGTTAGGATTCTTTTCTGGTTCCAAATGAAGTGTAGAATTATTTTTTCTAGATCTGTGAAGTATGACATTGGTATTTTGATGGGGATTGCATTGAATCTGTAGATCATTTTGGGTAGTATGGACATTTTAACATTGTTGATTCTGCCAATCCATGAGCATGTTTTTCCATTTTATTTGTGTCCTTTGCAGTTTCTTTCCTCAGTGTTTCATCGTTCTCCTTGTAGATATCTTTCACCTCCTTGCTAACCTCTTTCTTGATCAGTGTGAAAATATTTCCTCAGAGAAGGTTGAATGCATCATGATGAGGCCCCAAACCACCAGCTCCAGTTTACAAAGCATGGCAAGCAATTATTGCCTCCCCCACCCCCCAGAAAACTAAAGAAAAGTTTGGTTACTCTGCAGTCTTTGAAAATAAAAAATTGATTTGATAAGGCATTGATGTATAAGATTCAATTTTAGATGTTCTAAAGAATAAATTTTCTTCTTTTTTTAAGAATGAGTTTTTAACTCAGATAATTTTTACTACAACTTTTTTTTTTTCTCTTAAAAAGTCACATTTGTCTCTTATAGATGGTTTCACAGAATATTTCATTCTCTTTTTGGAGATTGTTTATCTTTCTAGGTATTTTCAAAAACATAATTCAGATTTGGTAATTTACATGCTGAAATATTGCAATTACACAAAGATTTATGATTAATTTACCTTGTTTCTCTACATTGTAGATTGCTTTTTTATTTTTTCACTGATCATTGTCTCTAGATTAATATGTAAAGCTCTGTACAACTCAAAATGTAGTAATTTCATTAATAGTCTTCAGTCATGGATTGCTTATAAACTTCATCTCTAAGCAGACAAGCTTGGCCCTCAGGGATGCACTTTTGGGGCCCAGTGTGGGTGGGCTCTGAGATGCCCGCGTTCTGGTAACCTGCAGGATGATTTGGCTGTTTTAGCTGGTGGAGGCAGTGACCTCAGACTCTGGACAGTGAACGGGGACCTCGTTGGACATGTCCACTGTAGGGAGATCATTTGTTCAGTAGCTTTCTCCAACCAGCCTGAGGGAATATCTATCAATGTAATTGCCGGAGGATTAGAAAATGGAATTGTAAGGTAAGAGGAATTTGGATTCTCCTTGTTTGCTTTTATTCATAAGGACAGAGCAGTTTCAGAAATTAGTTTTTGATATCTAGGCATATTAATATTCAATATTTAGAGATTTTAAAACATCTTCAGATAAAGGTTCTTCCTGTTTTATTTCTAAATAATAAAAATAGCTTCAGTGCATTTGAAGTTTTATGTTAACTATAAAAGATTAACAATATGAAAGTACATAAAGCTAAAAGTTCCCTTATTCTTGCAAATTTCCAGAGGTAACTACTGTTCTTTGTTTATTGTATTTCCTTCCTAATGACTTATCAGAAAGAAACAAATATGTAGGGTTTTTTAGTGAGAGTAATTTTAGTTTGCATCATTAGATTATGACTTTTTTCCCCCTCTAGGTTATGGAGTACATGGGACTTAAAGCCTGTGAGAGAAATTACATTTCCCAAATCAAATAAACCTATCATAAGGTAAGATCTTACCCCCCCCCTTATTCTTCATAATATAATTTGTGATTGCATTTTTTCTTAGAGTGATATTAAAGCACAGAGACCTAAAGAAGTGTGTGATTGAAGTCATCTTGAAAAGCTGACCGTTTTATCCATGACCCAGCAGCAAGAGGAACTACACACTCCTTACCTTCATGGAACTTAAAATCTGAGTCAGTAACTCAGAGTCTAATGGAAAGACATGCTGGCAGTGTGTCCAGGGAAGGCCTCTAGAATTATAGATATTTTTTCCTTCCTCATTTGGAAAGACCATAATGGTGATTGATAGTAGCAGGAGTGTGCTTGACACAATGGATAAACAACCAGTTTATTTGCTCAGTTAACAAATTTGACTTGAAAACCTCAATTGAAAGAAAAGTGATTCAAATTCTGCTTTATTAAAATAAATTTATTTTCAGTGTACTAAATTTAAAGTTTAAGGAACCTAAAGTTATTATTTATTAATGTTATATTTTTTTGCCCTTTTTT